CTCTGAGAAAAGATCAAGGTTTTAAGGTTCTCCTTCACATAAACCTTTATTTTCTGGCAGGAAAAATATGCATATTTATAGAGACACTACTAAAGTGTGGTTCTTAGTTCAGAACAAAGGAAAATAATCTCTAAACCCAAAATTTATTCCTTTAGACACATTATACAAGAATTGCCAATGTCTCTTGGTGGATGGCTATAAAATCACTTGGTCCAGGCTACACTAAAGACAAACAGTTTATCCAATTAGGTGGTTATGTAAAGTCATTCTTTTTTTTTTAACTGGGACTTGCTCTGTTTGTTACCCAGGCTGTAATGCAATGGCAGGGTCATAGTATGCTGCAGCCTTGAACTCCTACCTTAAGTAATCCTGCAATCCTGCCTCAGCCTCCCTCGTAGGCAGGACTACGGGAGGCACCACAGTGCCTGCCTAATTTTTTTTATTTTTATTTTTAGTTTGTCTAGATACAGTCTCACTATGTTACCCAGGCCGGTCTCAAACTCCTGGGCTCAAGTGTCCTCCTGCCAAAGTGCTAGGATTACAGGCGTGAGCCATCACACCTAGCCTAAAGTCATTGTCATTCTTAGTTGGTTCTCGCCAATATGAAGTTTAGAAGTCAGGCATGGGCTGGAGATTGGAAGTCTCTCCAATCAGGCAGTGCTCATTTTAAATACCAGCTTTGCTGTTGCCTAAATTTATCATCTTGGAAAATTACTTAGCTTCCCTATCTGTACAATGGGGTTTATAATAATAGCAGTTTCTACCTCATAGGGTTTTCCTGTCAATTAAATTTAAATATTCTATAAAATCCTTAGCACACAGCCAGGAACTTAGTAAGTGTTCAGTTCTTGAATTTCCCTGTAATTGGCGGCTGATGAAAAGAAACATTTCCTGTTGGTCTCCCAGTAAAAGAGATGCTGGCTTGTACACCTATGGCTGTTGGTTTTTCTAATAGCAGCCCAAGGGTTAATACCGCCCGAAGATGTGGGTGGCTCCTGTTTAGATAAAGCCACATCCCAAAGCTTCCTTCCAACCTTGGTTGCTATTGTTAGAGTTTTTCACCACCTCTTTGAAGTTTCAAGATTGATAGATGTTATTCAAGAATTCCGCCCCCCCCCCCACCAAATTTATTAAGTGCAAGTTTTCTAAGGAAATCACAGGAAATTTTAGGAGAAAGTAAAACTTTGGTTTCTGACATTGAACTGGGGATTTCTAGAATCTTCTTCAGTCGGTGCTGCACATAAGGGGATTTCTGTTCTTGTGTTTCCTTTAGGCTAAAAAGGAATTGAAATTAGCAAACAAGACTGTTCTTATAGTTAGGAAGTATAAAATAAAATTGTCCATGATGAATCAACATTTCATTTGGATGTTTTAGTGAATTAAGGACACATCTAAGTAATTATGAACTTAATATTTAAATTTTTTCAAATTTCATTTTCATATATGTGAAAAAAAATTGACTACATATTCACATTTGGCCAAAGTGAAGTCTCTCCAGATTCTGCCAATGAGGTTATAATAATAACACCTCTAGGACAGGGTCTAAATATTTTAGACTTTCTGGGCCAGATAAGGTCTCTGTTGCATGAACCTCTTAGTTTTATTATTTTTTAAACAACTCTTTAAAAATGGGGGAAAAATCGTTCTTAGGTTATAGGACTGTGCAAAAGCAGGCCATGGGCTCTTGCGCCATAATTTGCCAAACTCTGCTACAAAATATAAAAAATTGAAGAAATATTATTTCACATAAGTAATCATTAAGTGTCTAAAACAAACGTTTGTTGAACACCATAAATTGCCCCATTCCGCCCCAGGTGCTGGGTATATCTTGGTGATCAGAATAGATGGCCACTACCCTGCTTTGTCCGGAGAGAAGCAATCAGATAATTAATTGGATTTATGATTATAAGACATTCCATGCAGTTATAGACACAGAGAATGGAGACACGTGGGTACTTCAAGCTAACACATTCATTGGATACCTCAGATAATAGAGGCAGAGTTTCAGGGAGGGAGCATTGTGGAAGTGGTAAGCCTAAGTGGAAATGCCGACTGCTCGATTGGCTGTTTGAACATTAGTTCATCTGCCCCCTTGATTTTGTTCTCCAGGTTTATACTTTGCTGGACAACAGGGACAGTCCATACGTCTCCACAGGAGTGTCTTTTTTTCTTTTGCATTCAAATTGTTCTGCAATTGCTTTATCCTACCCCGTTTCTGCCCTACTCTTGTCTGTTCTTAGTCCCAATCCCAGCCTCCCAGAGTAAGAATTTATGTTTTTAAGGGTCAGTCACTGAATTTTCTCACTTTCCTGTATTTTTAAAATGCATTCATGTGGCTTTCCAAACAAATGATTTATTTTTTTCTCTTGGAATTCCCTTGCTGGAATTCTGATATCTTGGGGTTACTATTCTAGTTTATTAGACCCAGGATTTTCATCTAGAATATATACTCAGTGGAAGTTGGCATTTCTACTTAAGAACAAGTAATCATATTAGGCTTAAACCTTAAAAATTGATATGTACTAGCATCATTTCTCACTGTGTTTTGTTAAATCAAAGTATCAGATGCTGAAAGAGCTATGTTGTCTGGGGTATATAACCTGGGCTTCATCATTATGAGCCAGGAAAATTTAGGACATGAACACACATGAGGAATTTAGGAGCATAGGTTTAACAGGCAGAAGAGAAGAGAAAGAGAAACAACTCTATAGAGAAAGGTGTCTCTGGCAAGTGGAAAGGACAGGCTGGTGGTGAATGCGCTGGATTTTATGGTCCAGTTTGAGGAGGCAGTGTCTGATTTGCATAGGGCTCACAGATTGGTTCGATCAGGTATGATGTTTACATAGTATGTGGGGAAGGCTGGTCACCCCACCCTAATTTTATTATGCACATGGGCCTTCCACTTGATCGGTGCCTCTTTACCGTACACATGGCTGACAAAGAGAAGGGAAGATGGAGTCGCCATCTTGAACATGTCTAGTCCTTAGTTCCTGCCGGCATTCACCAGTACAAGCTCCCAGCTTGCCTGTCTATGGCTGCAGCTCGACTTTTCAGGCTGCTGTTTGTTAGAAAATGATTTGGGGCTGCTTTTTATTACAAAGGAAAGCCTTACTGAGGACTCTCATGCCCTTATTATCTGCCCAAGTAATTTTGTCTTAACTCCTTTATCAATACCATTTAGGCAATGGATTCCCTTTGAGAGAACATGGTAAGCCTCATTCCACCTGGACCATATTCTTATCACCTTTTTTTTGTTTGCTTTTTTCTATTCAAACACCTACAGTAGGTAAAAACTGACAATTGAATAATCAAAAAATCATTCTTTGACAAGGAATTCAGTTCCATACCACCCACCCATTTTTTTTCCTTTCTACTCCCCAGGTGCAGAGTGGTCAGTATGGGAGAATTGCTCTTCCTTAGATAGATCATATATTCTTTCTCCTTAACATAGCACTATTTCCACTCATCGCTGACTTCTCCCATTCTTCAGAGACCGACTTAAACGCAGTTTTTGCTGCTGTGCCTTCCACGTTTCTCTAAGCTTTTCCACATCCCTCTAGTATACAGATTGTACCGTACATTTAGCCCTATCCCCGATGCCACATACTGCTCATTTGTATATATGCCCTAAGTCCTCTACTGAGTACTTTTTGAGGGCAGTGCCATGCTCATCATAGACACTCGGTAGTGATATATTTGATGAATGATTCTAGCATCTGAGCATGAGGCCTCCTCATTAATGGGTACTTTGGAGGGCAGGTGGATGACACATAAAGCAATAGACTTCTGGCATGTTTGCCCAATGAAAGCAGCCCAGCACAAGCTCTCATTGAGCTAGAGCCGCCTTTTGCTGTCTCCTGCTCACTGTATGTTTCTATTCATGTCCTTCTTCCAAAGAGGGAAAACTATTTCACCAGTACCAACAAGGCCAGCACATGAACCAAAGTTTGATGTACAAGCTATATAGTTAGATACCTGGTGCTAAGGACTCTCCTCATCAGCCCACAGGGGCCTGCCTGCATCAGTATTCCAAGTCATAAAACTGCAGCATTTCCATTTTTAACTCATCTTACCTTTGTGACAATGTTTTCATTGTTACTATTCTATGAAACTGCAATTTGCATGCACACTGAAAAGAGGAATGTTGAGTAGATGTAACATCACTGTCCAAAGAGAGCCTTTCCACAGACTCCTCCCCTTTTCACCCATAGGCCCAGAGCTGTTGTCTCAGGGTCGCCTGAATGCTGATCAGAGCAGAACAAGTTGGAGCGTAAAAAAAAAAGCAAAGACCATTGTGGAAACTGTGGCACTCCCTGTGTTTTTACCAGATATCATACCTGTAAGTTTTTCGAAGGCAGAAGCTGTGTCATTTTTTTCCAGATTCCCATGCCCTGAGTTTAGGTAACACTCAGTGAATGCTTTGTCTTTTTATTCAGAAACTACGTCTTTTTTTTCCATATTCTCAATGCCTTGAGTTTTAGATAACACTCAGTGAATGCTTTGTCTTTTTATTCGGCACCGTTGAGGACCTGCTGTGTGCTAAGTGCCATTTACGGTAGCGAAGAAGACATGGTCCCTGCCAGCATGGAGTTCCCCATCCATGGGGGATGGTGAGAGTAAGGAAAGACAGATGTGAAATCAAGAGGTGCAGTCAGAGTTCACTTGAGTTTAAGTTGTACTGAATGGTTACCTAGGAAAACTATAGGGTGCTATGAAAATGTGTAAAATAAGACAATTTTCCAAGTTTTTCTAGGCCTCCCTTGAGGAGTGACATATAAGCTGAAGTTTGAAGAAAGAGTGGGAGATGTCAAATAGACGGCCAGAGGCAGAGAAGACGGAATGAGTGTGCACTGACATCTCTGAGATAAAAATTAACAATATAGTATCTACAAAACTATGCAGATGTTAAAATCTGTAGATGCGCGGGCGTGAACCCACTTCCCGATAGTACTCACCTACTACATCCAACTCCTTCTCTCCTTGTTTTGTTTCCACATCAGACTATAACACCAGCAATCCTGACTTGCTGCTAGTCATATTTCAAGTGACAGGCGTCAGCCTCCTGCCACCACTGGCAATCGCCATATCTGTCATCATCATCTTCTACTGCTACCGCGTGAACCGGCAGCAGAAGCTGAGTTCATCCTGGGAAACCGCCAAGCCACGGAAGCTCATGGAGTTCAGCAGCGAGCACTGTGCCATCATCCTGGAAGATGACCGCTCTGACATCAGCTCCACGTGCGCCAACAACATCAACCACAACACGGAGCTGCTGCCCATCGAGCTGGACACTCTGGTGGGGAAAGGTCGCTTTGCTGAGGTCTATAAGGCCAAGCTGAAGCAGAACACTTCAGAGCAGTTTGAGACAGTGGCAGTCAAGATCTTTCCCTATGAGGAATATGCCTCTTGGAAGACGGAGAAGGACATCTTCTCAGACGTCAACCTGAAGCATGAAAACATACTCCAGTTCCTGACGGCCGAGGAGCGGAAGACGGAGTTGGGGAAACAGTACTGGCTGATCACCGCCTTCCACGCCAAGGGCAACCTGCAGGAGTACCTGACGCGACATATCATCAGCTGGGAGGACCTGAGCAAGCTGGGGAGCTCCCTCGCCCGGGGCATTGCTCACCTCCACAGTGATCACACCCTGTGCGGGAGGCCCAAGGTGCCCATCGTGCACAGAGACCTCAAGAGCTCCAATATCCTCGTGAAGAACGACCTGACCTGCTGCCTGTGTGACTTTGGGCTTTCCCTGCGACTGGACCCTGCTCTGTCTGTGGATGACCTGGCTAACAGCGGGCAGGTAAGTTAGAGCTAGTGCTGAATCCCCTTTACCTTGCGCCTGGCTTCACCCTACCTCTTGATCCCTATCTCCGGGCTCTCGTCTCAAACAGCCCCGTACTCTGGACACTGGTCTAGGGAATCTAGCCAAAGTATGGAGTCTGCCTTGCGCCTGCTCTGTTCTCTCCTGCCTGAGCATTTTTGCTAATGGACAGCATTTCTCCTCCCCTCTTCAAATCCCCTCCAATTCAGCACATTTTCCCTCCTGGATCCATCCTATTTGTCTTCCAGCAAATGTTTTCTCTTTGCTTCAAGCACTGTTAGTACTTTACCTCTGTTTTCTGCCTCTGTTATGGTTATACTCAGTCCTTTCTACGCTGTACTAGCTATGGCTGCGTTGGTTTCTCTGTATTCATAGCATCATGGAAGGTAGTCTCCCTGAAGTCCAAATCTACAGCCATGTGGTCACCCAAGATATCTAGCACAATGCCTTGAACAGTGAAAGTAAAATAAGTACTTGTTGACTGAGGGAGCACTTGCACTCGTGAAGTACTCTCACAGATTAAAATGGAAACGTTTTTGGCTCAGAAACTATCAGAAGGTGATGAGAAATCACCACAACATCCCTTATAAGTGACGGGCCCAGTGTTCCTCACACAGTGGGGTCCGTGGAGAGCGGCACTGTCTTCTTTTTTTTTTTTTTGAGACAGAGTCTCACTCTGTATCCAGGCGCCAGGCTGGAGTGCCGTGGTACAATCTCAGCTCACTGCAACCTCCGCCTCCCGGGTTCAAGCAATTCTCCTGCCTCAGCCTCCTGAATAGCTGGGACTACAGGTGCACACCACCACACCCAGCTAATTTTTGTATTTTAGTAGAGATGGGGTTTCACCATGTTGGCCAGGATGGTCTTGATCTCTTGACCTCGTTATCCACCTGCCTCAGCCTCCCAAAGTGCTGGGATTACAGGTTTGAGCCACCGCACCCGACCGGCACTGTCTTCTTGAGCCAGATGGCAGGACCCTCTTTGAAGCGTTCGGTTACTGCTCAGTCAGCCCTGTGTCCATGGCAGCGCACACAGTGTTGAGGTAAACATGTCAAAATGCGGACAGACTAATGTGCCAGGATAATGAGCCATGCACTGACCTCTTGAGAAGAAAAACTTTTTCTAATACATGCCAGTAAGAAGCATTCCTTGGCATGATATCAACTTACGTGGCTTCCCTAGATCCTTGGGAAGGGAGGACTTGATTGTTATTGCGTCAGTCGATACATACTACAATACTAAGTATGTAAGTGACCCATTCCCTGGAACATGTTTTTTTCCTTTTTCATATGGATCTCATGTTTGCATATTATCAGTCAGAGAGATTACCACAGACCTAAATATCAGAATAAAACTACACGACCCACACATCAAAATGATAAAGTGATCCAGATTTGGTCTTTTACTGTGGAAATACTTTTGTACAATTTAATTTAGTAGAGATGTTATGCAATTATATTATATCCTTTGCACAATGGAATGTGCCATGGGATAAACAAAGATTAAGGCTCAGTCCTGAAGTGATCAAAACTGATAGCAATTATTATTTTTACCGTAAGTCTTGGGGCTTCAGGAATTAAAAAAATATTTAATTTTGAAAAGCAAAAGTAAACATTTAAAATATCACAAATATTGTCTCCCAGGTTATCTGTAAGGATGTTATTGAAAAATGTGATGACATAAGTCATGGGGTTAGATAAGGCAGTCTGGGGTTTGGCACTTCCTTATTTTGGCATGCTTTGTTTATAGTCTTAAGCGGGTTTTCAGGGAGAGAACATCTATTTTTAAAAATAGTCATCTATCTGTACCTTTCCGTGCATTTCTCACTATTTAAAAGAGCACTGTGATTTTTTTTTAAAGATCCTCTGCACATGTCACGGACCAAAATCAGCTATATTGTGAAAATTAAAATGCAGCTGGAATTAAATGATGGGCCTCATTGTCTGTTTTTGCTGTAGGTGGGAACTGCAAGATACATGGCTCCAGAAGTGCTGGAATCCAGGATGAATTTGGAGAACGTTGAGTCTTTCAAGCAGACCGATGTCTACTCCATGGCTCTGGTGCTCTGGGAAATGACATCTCGCTGCAATGCAGTGGGAGGTATGTATGGACCAGCATCACTGTGTCATGGTAAACTTGTCTTCAAAATAAGATCTTGTGTTGCTTCAAGCATCATTCCAGGGGTTACAAAACAGTTATTAGAGCTAGTTGAGATCTGGTATTACACAACTGTTCCAGAACTATTTGGGGTTAGGCTAAACAGCCTGGGTTTTTAAGCTGAAAGCTACATTTGGAGCATAAAGCTTTGTATCTCCTTTCATAAAGCTTTGTATAATTACTCTTCTCTTGACACATCTCTCCAAAATTATTTAAATATCTGGCAAGAGATGAATGCTAATACAGTGTATAAGAATTACCTCTAATGATCATATGGATAATATTCAGATAAGCATCTGATTTCTTTTTCTTTGTGTTTTAAGGTTTTTCAGAATCCTGTCTGGGAAAAGGATTTGATTAAAAATTTACTTTTATGGACATGACATTCTTTGGTTGGGGAAAAAAAAATCATTGTTTGAGAGATTTGTTTAGGTTTTGAAAATTCTAGTGAAGAGTTTATTGAGGAAGGCCATCCTGTCACTCGTTAAGGCTGCAGGACTAATTGGGAGACCTAGTTTTCTCCTGCAAAGCCCAAGGTGTCCGGCTGGCTTGCCCTTTTTCTCCCCAGCTCAGCCACCTACTTATCTTTCCTTTTAGGATCATTTCTCCCTGAACACACTGCCATAGCCTCCCAGATGCCCTCTGCTGTGTCTTCTCTGCAGGTTGTATGCTGAGTCCTTTTCATTGTTAGAGGCTATTACTACTATTGACCCTGAGGCTGTAGATAGGATGAGCAACAGACATCTGGGGCGCCACGGTGAGGCTATTGTTTTAGGGGGTATTGTCCCCTGATTGCAAGAACAGTTGAGGTTTACATTGCTATACCCTTTCCTGACTCTCTTCTCAGTACCTTGGAGGGCAGATGAATGACACATAACGCAATAGAATTCTGACATGCTTGTCCGATGAAAGCAGCCCAGCGTAGGCTCTTATTTCACTAGAATTGCCTTTCGTGTATCCTGTCCACTGTATGTTTCTATTCATGTCCTTCTTTATTTATCAGGTGAGACAGGGTCTTAGGTCTCACCTGAGTAATCTGTGCACTCAGGTTGGTCCTGGTTGGCTGCCACATATGAGGCCAAGCTCACTCCATTTCATTTTTAACTTTTTGTTTTGTGATAATTTTACACTTACCGAATAGTTGCAAAAAGAGTGGAGTTTCCATATACTCTTAACTTAGCTTTGTCTGGTGTTAATATCTAACCTAAACCATAGTATGACTATCAAAAACGGCAAATGAACCTGGGTTCAGTGTTCTTAATTAATCCTTATGCCTATTTGTACTTCCAAGTTCCCAGTAATGTTTTTTTCTGAAACGGGATCCAGTCTGGGATCCCGCATGGATCTAATGTGCAAGCCTCCTTAAGTCTCCTTGACCTAGTGACAGTTCCCCAGTCTATTTTTACCTTTTATGACCTTGACACGTGAAAAATTTAGAACAATTATTTAGACCGTCTCTTACTTTGGGTTCACTGATGTTTTCTCATGATTAGATTGAGATTACGTATTTTGGGCTAAAATACCAGAAATGATAGTGTGCCTGTCTTCAGTGCGTCATGTCAGGGGGAACAAGACGTCTGTGTGTCTGATTATTAATGTTAAATGTGGTCCCTTGGTTAAAGTGGGACCACTGGGTTTCTCCTCTGTAAAAAATACTGTTTGTCCATTTGTAAGTAATACATGCCTTTGACCCATTTCTAAAGATACTAAATACCTGTTTAGTAAAGGTACTAGAACTTTCCTCTTCATAATTTACCCACTAATTTGATGATGTATGACTAATTCTTGCCTATAACAATTAATACTATAATGTTTGCTTAAAAAGAAGATTTTCTATTTTTCTTGTTCCTTCCTTATTTATTAATATGCATTCTAGTTTAAGAAAGGTCTGTCTCTTCAGTCACCATCCCTGTTCTTTACATATAAATACTAATTATGTATTTATATCAGCAGGGGATTTTGGATACTTGCTTTATTATATGGGTATCCAGTATTGCCATTATTTATTTTGTTGCTTAAGTTGCCACAGCTTGGGTGACTGGTCTAAACTACCCAACATTTTGCCCAAAGCAGGTTGGTACCACTGCTGGCTCTGATTCTTCATCCTGTTCAGAATATGCATAGCCAATTCTCCAGCGTGGGTCCAGGTCACTCCCTCCCATCCTGCACCCTGCTGAACCTCATGTGTTTTCCTAAGACCCTGGCATGAGGAAGGCACTTCCTGTCTAGCTGACATATTTTCTAGTTTCCTGACCGAGATTTCTTCCCCAGCACACTTCCAAAAGTTAACTTTGTTTTTCCTTGCACAGTGAAATTTGTTTAACCAAGTTTCAACCACTGAGAATAATTTTCTGCTTGAAAGCTTTGACAGTTCCAAAATGAATCTTTAGACGGGTATGAGCTGTGTCAGAGACAATGCTGTTGTCACTGTCAGAATAAATTTACCTAGATTTCAGTATCGTTTCCTATCCTTTCAACCCTGTTCTTCTATAACCATGAGCGAGAGATTGTGTCTCTGTCTTTCCCTCTGCCAGTGCAGCCAGCTGATTAAGGCCCTAGGTGAGCTCCCAGCTTTCATTGTTATCACTGACAAAAACCCTTTCCTGTTGATATTTGCTGAGTGTGGAAGAATTTAAGCTAATGAGGAAGAACGAAGTTCACCAACTTTTACGAGGTCTAAAAACAGATACAGCATAAACAAATTTTCCCAAGGAAGGAACTGGTTTGTTCAGCTAGTCTCAAAAAATCTTTCATAACCTTAGGATAAGAACAGACAGCCCTAGGGAACCGGAAGGAGGCCATCCCACTTCTCATTTCCTTTGATCTGAAGCCCGCCGTCCTGTTTCTCCCGTCTTCACTCAGGCTGCAGACACCAAGGCTATTTACCCATCCTCACGCTCGTCCTGACACAAAGCTCTTCACTTGATTAACTGTGTGCACTCACGTAGTAAGCTCCTTCTCCCACCTTGATTTCTGCTTTTAAAGGCGCTAGTGGTTTTTGTTTGTTTGTTTGCTTATTTTTGGTATGTCTCAAAAACCTCAAAGACAGATTTTTAGCCTGGTTTTAGTTTCAGAGATTTCCTTTCACATTTACAAAGTCCTTTAGAAAGTACACGAAGCCTGAAGACAGATACATTCCCTCCAACTGCCTGTATCTTTCTGCTGTCCCCACTGTAGCTTTTGTAGAAACACAGATGGAAAGACAGGTCTTGACCTCAAGAAGCTTGTAGTCTACAGGAAACAGTCATTTGGGTTTTTTCTTTCTTTTTTTCTTTTTAAAAAATTTACTCATGCAGATATGTTTCCTACCTTACAAATCAAATAAATAATGAATCCCTCTATTTGAAGTTAGACTTTAGTTTAAGGTATAAGGAAGAGGGAAGGCTGTAAAAGGTCTTTACTAAGCTCGAATTTTTGTAGTTTGCAGTACAACATATGTAATTACCATTTTTTTTAATCAGCAGTCTCATTCCAAAAAAGGAAACGTGCAATATGCTTACCTTTGTATGACAAATTATAGATGGACAGTAAAGGGAACCAGATCTCCAGGGTCCTCTCTGTAGCCTCTGAGTCTGTGTGTGCTTATGGGATCACGGATGGGGGCCGCTTCTCTGACATGGAAGGCTTATGATCTCACCCATGGAGCCAGCGACCAAGCACCTACAGAGAAGCCTACTTGAGAGGTATGGTGCACCTCGACTGCGTGCAGAAGGATGGTGGGATCCAAGTCTCCAGTGGAACAGCTAATCTACTTGACAAGTGTAGTGATCCACCCGCTGAAGGAGGGTAAATGTGGCTGTTTGGATTTCTTAGGATGACTGCCACGGGTAATATGGATGTAGCACCCCATCCTGTACTGGGAGAGTCCCCAGTTGTACTGAGGACTTTTTAAAGCTATGGAACATTGACCTTTCTGTTACCAATTGTTAATGAGCTATTGCAGAAGTGACTATTTGTTTTAGTTTCTTAGATGTTAGCATTACCCTACTCACTACTTGAAAAAAAACGTTCTAAGTAGCAGATGATCTAACTGAATGAAGTAGGATCCAAGCATTAGGGACAGAAGGTTCCACAGAAGAATGTGAAATCCCACCTCTCCTGCCTTTAAGCGACTCCTTATGTTTGAGCCCAGACTCTTCACATGGAGATTAAGGCTCCAAGCTCACCTCCACGCCCCCTCCTCATTCTGTGTTCATCTGTTCATCATCATGAATGTACTGTAGGTCTCACCTCCAGGTCATGCTGTTTACTGGCACTGGTACACTTAACTAGACCATTTTGAACAGGCAAGTGCAGTTCAGTTATGATAAATGCTTAGGAAGGGAAGGCAGCAAGCTCAAGGGACTGAACGCCCAGGTTGGCTACAGGGAGGGCAGTGTTAGGGTCAGGGAGTGAGAGCTGGGTCAGCTCCTGGAGGAATAGGAAGACTGGGACGTCCTCCTGAGTTACTTCTTATCAGCCAGTCTCTCCTCTGCGCAAGGGAGCACAGGGAAAGCAGAAAGAACAGCACTGCACTGGAGAAGCCCCACTTGTATCAGGTGAGAAAATAAACAGATGATAATAGAGCTCTTCAAAACTTAGGTGGTACAGCTTCATTTAGCACAAAATTCCACCAGGGAGCTTGGGAGATATGTTGCAGTTAAGTGAAGAGAGAGGTCAGAGAGAAAGGCTTCTTACTGAAAGTACATTTGGTCCAGACGAAGAAAGCCATAAAGGAATAACTACCACTTCTTGAACACTTGCTCCAGAAATTAACTCATTTAATCGACCAAAACACTTTGAGGTGTGGACTGTTATTAATCCCATTTTACAAAGAGCAAACTGAGGCCTCAGGAAGTGGGAAAGTTGTTGAGCCAGGAATCAAAGCCTTGTTGTCTGACTCTAGAGCTCGCAGGCCTTACCATTCCTGGTATACTGCTCTGGAGAATGTGTTTAAAAAATAG